CTAGCTATCTTTAAGAAAAACTATTTATGTTTTTTCCTTTCTTTTTTAGTAGTTTGGATTTGGTGTTTTAGTATTCTGGATTCAGATTATTAGAATGATAGATTATCTAGCTATATTCAACATGAATATGTGTATTTATGTGGCTGTAAAGAGCTAGCTATACTCGAAAGGAGCACACAACTGCAAACTACTTGTACACAAGCACCCCTTAATATCCATTAACTAAAGACTAAAATGACAGCTACCAAACACAAGGCACCCATCAGAACCAAGCAAAGAGTTTGAAAATGAAGGTAAAATGCATTAAAGTTATTTTTCATCTAGATGAGTTCTTCCATCCGCATGTTTCATTTACGGGAAATATATATACACGAGATCAACACTTAATTGAACATGATAACAAACTCCAAAAGATACGAAATCTGAAGAACCGAAAATAAGTGATCGGAATAATCAAAGCGATATTTACGAGGACATATCGGAAAAGGGAAAAGATTATGAACCTACACGAGAGTCAACACACAAATGAACCTGAGAACAAACTCCGAAGGATATAAAATTGAAGAACCAACAATCAATGATCGGATTAACCAAGGCGATATTTACGAGGACAAATCAGAAAAAGGAAAACATTACGAACCTACACGTAATCAAAGATTTGTTACTTAAAAATATATCATTACCACAAACTTCTATATAATCCCAGACACATACATCTTCTATCACTTTTCATCTAATGGGAGAGGTCACGAGACGATAAGCCTCCATCGCTTTTTCATCTAATGATAGATGGGCATGGAAAATGTTAACTCGCAGTTAATAACAACAATAATTAGATACCGTTGCATATTTGAAAATGTAACAATTAGTCATAAATCAAGAATCAAAATATTTTTGTATACCGTCTAACATACTATTGTTTTCAACCAACAGTCAAAGTTTATATGGCAAGTTATTTACGATATGCGACTATTGTATGTTGACTGTATATACTTGAGTTTTTTTGTCAAGTTATCCATGGTACACAATAGAATTTTACTATACTAGTATCATGATTTATGACTAGATGTTATATATCGTTTATATGATTATTACCTTACTAGTAATTATTGCTTTTATTTTCAGCGAGTTAATAATCATCCCGTGTCCCTCCCTGTGTTGTTAGATGAAAAGTGATAGAATATATGTGTCTCATCCAACCTTCCCCAGCCATCACGCGTGAAGATCATCGTCAAATTGTGAGTATCTATTCTCGTGTGATCCCGTAAGTTCTCATTGATGAGACGGCAAGACGTTTCAATGATTTTGCTGTTTTGTGATAATCCTTATTTGTCAAATCCAATATGAAATTGCAACTTGGGTTTTGAATTCATAAATTGTCTATCGATTTCTTGATTTGCTGCCCTTCGATTAGGATTCTTTGGTGATCATTTATTATGGTTTTGATTTTGTATAGATAAGTATTGTGTTGACGTAACAAATCATTGATTTCGTGTAGGTTCGTAATGTTTTCCCTTTTCCGATCTGTCCTTGTAAATATCGCCTTGATTAATTGATTTTCGGTTCTTCATATTTTGTATTCTTTGGAGTTTGTTCTCAGGTTCATTTGTGTGTTGATTGTCGTGTAGGCTCATAATGTTTTTCCTTTTCCGATCTATCCTCGTAAATATCGGCTTGATTATTTCAATCACTGGGGTTCTGTTCTTCATATTTCAAACTCTTTTCTTGGTTCAGTAGCTGTCTTTTTGGTCTTTAGTTAACTGATATTAAGGGGTGCTTGTGTACAAGTAGTTTGCAGTTGTGTGCTCCTTTTGGGTATAGCAAGCTCCTTCCAGCCACATAAATACACACATATTCATGTTGAAGAGATATCTGTTCTTGAATCCCTTTTATGGGCTAAGCGATGTTTTCGTTGATGCAGAGCCTGAGCGGCAGAAAGCAAAGAGAAAATGGTTCAAACTCGATCGCAGACTCGCAAGAGGATGATAGAAGAGAAATGGGATAGGGTTGAGTCTGCCCAGGGTGTCTTTATTGACATCCTCTCTCCGGTCTTTTAAGACGGTAAGCAAGTACTGGCGTGAATCTATGAGCAGTAAGTATTTTGCTAAGCTGCAGATTACTCAATCAAAGGAGCATCCCTCTTTTATTGCCTGTCCAAGTACGGATAAAACTATGGAGTTGTACTCATTGAAGCCAAAGAACTTCAAACTTGTCAACCTGAGGACAATTGATCTGTCTGAGAGAAGCGATGAAGGAAACATGCACATGATATCGTCCTTCAACGGACTTATTTGCTGCAAAAATTGGGTTTATGAGAACGAGTTATGGGATCTAAAGATATGGATTTGTAATCCGTGTACAGGGGAAACTCTCCTTCTTCCCCAAGGGAGACCCTCATTTGGGTTTGTGCCGATTGTTGGAGTAGCTTATGGGTCCGACATCAGTGACTACAAAGTTCTGCGCTGGAAAGAAACGTCGTGAAGAAAGGGTATATGAATGTGAGGTGTATTCTTCGAACGCTAGTTCTTGGAAAAACATCGGCATCGTGCCTTGTGTTCCGAAGTATTCTCATGATTGTCCATGCAGATATGGCCGTGTTTTTGTCGGAGGGGAGATATAGTGGATATCTTCCTTAGATGGTGATGGTGAGATTCTCTCGGTTGATTGGGAAGGCAAATTTGAAGTTATCAATTTGCCTGAATATGCAGATAATCTCAGAGCGGAAGACAGAATAACAGAGCACAGATATCTGATCAATCTACAAGGATCTCTCGCTGTGTTTGTTCGACATGTGGATTATATGGATATATGGGCTTGGAGAAGAGACGGAGAAAACTTTAGTTGGGTACATGAACACCAAGATACCATTCCATTCGACGACGATGAAGATGATGACTTGGTTTTAGCCATGACTTCATCGAAGAATCTGATCTTATGTATGACTCTGACACATTGGTTTTCTTATGATGTGGGTACTAGAATCTGGAGGAAGAAAAGGGAGAAGTTTGCTAAATTTGCGTATATTTCTGTGTTGCCTTTCACCGAGAGCGTTCTTCCATGTAAGTTATGTTTATATATAGTGATAGAGTGTTTCTTTCTTGTTTGTTTTCTAATCCGCTTTTTGATCTGTTGTTTCTTAAATCAGGCAATGGCGGTGTGATGCTGTAGAAGGAACATCAAGAAGAGTACCTATGCGTCTCTGATGTGATGCTTGGTTGATTCAGAGAGGTTATGTGTTTTTCATTCAAGAACTTCATATTGGTTTGTGGTGGGGTTTGTCTTCTTTTTGAACTTGGCGTATTACAATTTCTGTTTTTGAGATTTCATTGATAGTAGTAATAAACTGTGGCTGCTTTGTTGCTGAGAAAAGTTTTATTTAATGTTATGAAACCATCCTTCTGATTTTATTCTCTGGTCTTGCTAAATTTGAGTTCTGCTTTGTTTAGTGTTTTCTTCTTCTGCTATTGTACCGTTTGCCTTGTACCGTACATTAAACCGGTTGGTTTAGTTTGAAGATTCGATTTTTCCCCTAAATGTTGGGGATTTATGATCCGTAAACCAGAGCTATCTGTCGAATTTTTAGCCATGTTGTTTGATTATATATATTAAATATTTATTTATTAATAAATAAAATAGTCTGTGTTAAGTATTTCGATACCAGTTTGAAATATTTTAACATTCGACTTACGAATAGTTACATTTCGAAAATACATTAGATATTATGAGTTTTTGGTTCCTTTAGTTTATGATTTTTTGGAATAAAATGTTTCTTTCTTGTTTGACCAAAAAAAAAAAATTGTTTCTTTCTTATTTCTTATGCCCATGTTTATGTTTCATAGAATATTTTCGAAGGATTTTCTTCCTTCGAAATATGATTCCTTACAAAGTTGTCGAATCCATTAGCTTTATGAGAATACATGTATTTGAAAAAAAAAATCAGTTCATGCATCTGTTGTAAATTAAAAATTAGTAAGTTCATGGGTCTTAATGGTATTTTCCAAACATAGATTATTAAAATTTATATATTTAATTATTATAGCTGGCATAGTCTTATCAAAAATAATGTTTTGACTTC